GAGTAACAATAAGCCTTGTGTGTGCTTCCATTAGTTTTGATTGGTATGCGGTGCTTTATTGGCGAGAGGCGAGCCGCTGTTTACCTGCGACAAGAAGTTGATTTTTCGAAAGTCGTAAAACTCAAGTCGCAGTGCGAAGCAACACGTCAAAAACTCACCTGCTTGATATGGCGCTTCTGGTCATCGCAGAGCCATGAAATTTTGGCTCGGAGTATAACACATCGTAGTCTCACTGTGACATATGTTTTCTAATCAAAATACCAAGAGAGAAAGTGAATATTGAGACCGTTCCGGTTTGCAACCTATGCCCTATTTGAAACCGTCGCCTCCACACAATGGCGAGAGTTCCCAGACTGCCTAGAGTGCTCAACACCACAAGGATGGAGCATTACCACAACTAGGCAGAAGAGAACAGAGACAGCCGGCTAGGTCATTGTTGTAATGCTGCGTTTCATGCACATAGCAAAGCTAAGGCAATCCTCAGAAAACCACCTTCTGCCTTTGTGGTCATGGACATGTACAGTGCATGCTGGCAACCGAAATCCGACCCCCTGAGCGGCGCGGCGAGCCGGCAAGGGGGTCGGATTTCAGTTGCTAGCACTGTACATTGTATAGTCGTATGGGTGCCTCTTGGTGGCGCGCTGCCTTGATCACGTGTGAAATGTAGCCGAATTCGGTTGGTAGATTAGAATCTACTGATGTTTCCTAAGGTTTCGACAGAGCGATTTCACACACATTAGAGAGGTTCATTAAGATGCACGTTATTCCCGACGTGGCGCTAGGCTCCGGCGGATTCTGCCGGCAGAAAAATTGGCAGAATTCGGTACTTTGTCTAGTACGTTTCATGCATGTTTGGTATGTGGTAAAAAAATGGAGCAGAATTCGAGGAATTGCCCGCCATGAGGTTTGTATGGTTCTGCCAATTTCACTGCTTTTCGAGCAGAATCTGCCACCTTTTCGAGCAGAATCCGCCGGTCCTTACGTGGCGCGAAAGTTCAGTTGGCGTTATTTGGCTCGAGCGTCAAAACACAACGCCAGTGACCTGCAGCTCACGTCGAAATTTGGAGTTTTACGCCAGATTTGGCGTGAAATAGCGCGTCACGTCGGAAATAACGTGCATCTTAGCTTCTCTAATAGTATAAAGTAGCCACAAATAAAAATGTAATGCCTGTACTGTAAATGGCGTATCATACTATCACCAACCCTTCTGAAGTCTCCAAGAGACCCTCGCTGCAGCAGCTAGACAAGGAGGCAATGCCCGGCCAGATTCCCCAGCTTGTGGGTACACAATGTGGCCAGTGCGCCGCATAAGGTTGTGGAAAGCTACATTATACTCTTAGGGCCATGTGGTCGTGGTATTACTCATGACGATATCGAGGGGTACACCAGTGGCAGTGGCAAGTGTTGTTCAGCGAGATTTACAAACGACACTCAAAGCATCATGCTAGCAAGCGCGGATGCACCGTGAAAGGAGTTTCAGCACAGACCTCACGAAATTTTGCTGTTGTTTATTTATTTTAATTCACCATACGAACAGGCAAGACTGCCTTCTCACCGGGGCTATTTGCCCGCGGCTCTCACGATATGATCAAAATGTTTAAGGTGCATGAAGAAGAAAGAAAGGGAAAGCTAATGTTGTTGTGGTTGATTTTTTATATTACAAAGACCATTTAAATGCCGAGCTGCAGCTAGGGAAGGACGCTCGACATGAATCGAGATAGTGGTGGTGAGGTTTAAGGAGCTCCGCCGTTGTTGCAGTTTCTACAACGTTGTATCACACACAGGTTGTCTTGCCTCCATTGACACATGTGCAGTAAAACCTGTAACTAGCGACCACCCCTTGGGGCCAGAGAAAGCGGTCTTAAGTGGCAGGTGGTCTTTAGTGGCAGGTGGTCCTTAGTTAGAGGTTTGTACCGCACAACCATTATGATTGTGAACCCATCCGTGCCCGGCAAAGTGGTCTGTAGTACCAGACTGGTCGCTAATCACGGTGGTCTTTAGCTACAGGTTTTACTGTACATGGGAGCGACAAAGTGTTCCGTGCTTCCTGACAAGTGCTGATTTGAATACTGAGTTCACCTGGAAACTACTTCAACGTCTTATCATTGCGGAATTAATTCTGTGTTCGATATTGTTTATTTTTTACATATTTTTATTTTATTTTTTTCGTGTTCGATATTGAATTTTAATTTTAATTTATTTACTTTTTTACAAATATTGTTTTTATTCCATTTCACATTTTTCATTCGTGTTGGGTTTAACTACTCACTGTACTGATACATGGTGATGATTGTGCTTTGCTTTGCCCGTAAAAGAGGCCTTCCCACCGTCATTGCAAGAATGGTTTTAAAGACCATGACCAAGTACAACAGTACCGATACTAGGTTTTTTAAGAGGCCAGGATATGTCACGTGCCTGTGTATAGAGTTCGTACTACTTGTAGGTAACAGCAGCGGGAAAATGAGGACAGTGACATGGTGATGGTTATCTCTGTGTACCAGCCACGGCCTGACACATTCCAATCACGATGCCCCGGGAAACCATCGCGTCTTCAGTACGCGCTGAATTGTAAGCACAGCTACAAACTGCCCATTACTGCACCACCAGTTGTCCCAACACCAATTAGAATAACAAAAACGGCGACTGATTCTCACTTGAAGAGCGCTGTGTCCCAATGGTACAGTGCACCCAGACCCACAACGGGTATGGAAATGGCGGACGTCGCAAAACCCACAGAAGGAGCCGTTCATTAGGCGACTGTTGCAGATGAAAATCAGTGATGGTAATGGTCCGCGGAGATGCAATCGCAACGGTTTCCAGTCTAATGTATTTCTCGATCCAATACACGTAGCCGTTCGTATCATTGGTATCAAAAGACGATGGATTAAGTTACTTGAGATCAGCTCCAGACCCTCACTAAAGCAGATCAAGTTGTAAAGTCGCAGAAAAAAACCTCTTGCTTTGAACAGATTTTCAGTACATCCAACTCGCAATACAGGAACAGTGTTTGGTTACATCACGTACAGTGAATTGTCCAAACTTGCACCCAGATTTCCCCTGCATGGTATTGTGTCCCATCGCAGAATGCTGTTAGGTACCAAGAGGGCTACTTGCGCATACTGCTCAACGTGATAGTCTTGGCGGTACCGTTGCATCGTGTCTCTGACTCGGCTAGGCTTGTAAGAAAACGAACGCTTGTGTGACTACAGTCTTTCCTGTGCACTGCACCCCCACTTCAACTCAACCAGAGTCTGTGCATGCACCCTCCAAGATGAACAACAGCCCGCCGGCCTCTTGTTAAGGGTATACCTAGCCGAAGGTATGTCTTAACGCCAGAGTGGATAGCCTAGGGACGATAAACAACCCTAACAGTACCTGTAATTTGTTCCTATTTGATTCGCTTCGCTCGCTCTGGGTATGGTAACATCGAGCACAGTTGATGGACAGTTGTAGAAACAGAACGAGTACAAAGGCATTGAAGATGCTTCGCAGCAGCATTGAGTCCACCGGCAGAATCGGATTGCATGCTGTGTGCGATCGCGGAACGTTACGATCTGCTTCAGTAGTGCATCAGGACTGGCTACGGTCGCATCTAGCAGTAACCCTGGACGAGCGAAGCTGAGAATACTTCATACAACTTCTACATGGCTATACAGTCAACTTCACTAATAACGACTTCGGATATAACGACAATTCGCGAATAACGACAGAATATCCATGCCCAGAGCAAAGTCCCATCCAACTGTAATACATAGGGACTTCAGGTATAACGACACTTCGCGAATAAGAACACTTTTCGGATACCCCGCCGAGTGCCGTTATACGCGAAGTTGACCATAATACTAAGTATTATTGACGCTGGGCATGTGAGAGAACGCGCTGCAGCATTTGTTGCGCACTATCCTCGCACACGATGCACAGCCAACTTCAAATTCGTAGAAAAACTTCACCAGCGGCATATTTGTGCGACTCATATTCTTGCGCCACCTTGTGAAAGTAAAGTAAAGTCAGCACATCAGTGTTACAACCGGCTATACAATAGAGAAAACACAACCAGCTTAGGATGTTTCGCATGTGCCAGGCCGCCACTCATGCCTGTGATACCAGGTGGGCAGATGAAGCTCTTAACGGCGAGGGTGAGGTGGTAACTCTCACAACCCGAATGCCCGACAAGGGGGCGAACCTGGTTAGCTGCATCCATGTTACCCTCACACTCCGAGCAGTGAGCACCCAGTTGACCGTTGGTGTACAACCATGTTGCCCACACAAGTGACGGCATTGCCGTCTCATTGACGAGAGTGATACTATTCATAACATAAACCACCCAACCCGACAACGCAACATTCACATGCAGATCTATCCCTGCCGGTCTCGGCTCCAAATGTGCCTTCTTTGCTGTATCGAGGGTTGTTGTTGTTGCAGACGTTTAGTTTACGTCGCACCACAAACAGGCGATTTCGCCTCCTTTGATACACATGTGGACGACAGAGGGAATGAGAGAGAGAGGGGAGGGGGGGGGAAATACGGAGAGAGGGTTTCTCACCAATGCGGGAAGACATGTGCTGTTCTTGTTTAGGGTAACCTGTGTCTCGAAACACGCCCAATTGAACGCGACCCAGTCTCGTGGAGTTTTCAACGAATCATAATAGGTACGGGTTACGTGATGGATAGAAGGCAGATGTTTTCCACCTGCAATCACTCTAATTATAATTCGTTTCCTGTTGCACTTATAGGTTTCGACTTCCAATGTGTGGAGGAGACTAGGTAACCGCCCACTACCAATAGTTAACGAGTATTTCAGAGCATTTCATAACGAGGGTGGTAATATCTATCACCTCTCGTCCAGCAGGGGTAAATCGGCTCCAACACAATAACATATTCACTGCCTTGTCATTGAGCATCTGTGCTCGTTTGGATTAGCGAATTCAAATAAAGTACACAAACAAACAGACAAACTACCAATGCATGAAGGTAAGACATTGTCACGATCCGTCACTCACCTGCAAGTGTGTACAAGTTGGTGCTCGAGCCTAGCCAGCCAATGGCTAGAACAAGAAGAAGGGGCGTTCCTCTCCGCATTCCGGATCATTTGCTTCCCGCTGCAGCTGCCCGGATTATGTGTGATGTGTTCTCATTCAGTATGCCCGCTGCTTGCATCGGTGAGCCTTACCACCAGTGATACACACTTGTCCTTACTGTACACGAGCTTCCATTGCAATTCTAAGGAGGCAGCTGTTAGTAAAGCAAAACCTTGACTTCAATAATATTATTGTTTTCCCTGCAGTCATGTGTACACTGCGTACAGACTGAGTTTCCGAACGGTCGAATGAACTAGGTTGAACGGACGCAGACACTTTTGTGTGCATGTGTGTTCCAGTACCAGTCTTCTGTCATAGATATCGACCGCACAGGTTTGCAAGGTACAGTGTTACCGTGTATCATAGCGATGGCCACGGGCTAGCTAGCACGGCTGCCCTTCGCCTCACTGCCGTTCTCACTCCATCTGCTGCTCCGACATGCAATTCTTACACGCGGGTATCCTATTATGTTCTTAGCAATGGGGCAAAGCGTTGAGAGTGTGAATGCGCACGCGCACGCGCGCGAGTGTGTGTGTATGTTCGTGTGTGCGTGTCTGAATCCCGCACGTGTTCAGTCCGTGGCGCTATTTTACTTGAATACACAATGTAGTGCGCCTCTTAAACTGTCACCAGCAATTACATGTATAGAATTTGGTTTCTGGCTAAAGCATTTCGCCTAAAGAACGTACATGTATGTAAAATGATGAAATGGGTTCCATGAGGTGTTTGGAACTGTTTTCCATCCACGTTTGTAGGAATAATCCAAATCCAAAGCCGGCTGGACAATTTTCAGGGTGAAACTTCTCCTGTAGTACGGTTAAAAGCACTGGATGTGCCAACCTGCGCGAGGCTGTGGCAGTGCTCCTCAGTAAATCACAGACATCTATTCATGATATCAATGCCCCGTCCACACTTCACACGTCCATGTTTGCACTAACTTCCACGCTAGTATCAAACATCTAGGCCTGCTCGTAGAGTATTCGATAGTGAATGCTGCTGTCTGATGATCGCTGAAATGCGTGAAACTTAAAGTTGCAACTACACCGCCTGTCGCCTCTGTTGTGTGTGTTCATGATAAAATCCAAAAATCCAAAATATCGAATGCGACAGTTTAAAAGAGATACTAAATCCGCGAAGGTGCAAATACACATAATTGCGCTCGCAAATCAGTGCCAAGCACGAAAGAGTTATAGACGCTTGAGAGTTGTAATCAAATCCACAACTCTCTGATTTTGAAGACACGCACCTCTGGCGAGAGGGCTGATAGTTGGAAATGGCAGCAGGCTGTGCATTGTACATGTAGGTATTCAGAGAGACAAAAGGTGTGCCCGACACCAAATACAAGTCTTTTTATGCAGCGTGCACAGACTAGAACCAAGGGGTTGGTCCTGTAGCTTCGACCTACGTACAAAATAGCGATCGTCAGACAGCACAACTCGGAGTTACAGCAACAAAACATTGGCTCTCTTCTCTACACGACTGTGTATAAGGCTCTGCATCTACCCATAGGTGCTGCAACGGCGAGCGCTCTCTCGAGCTGCGAGAAACCTCTCCCTGACGGAGTCTTGGTGTGCAATGTATTTCGCATTTACGGCTTCCTCGATTTGATTCATCCGTTTGGTTTAGACAATGTACCTCTTCAACCAACTTGTCCAGATTTTCATCCTGTGAATGCTGGTATCAATGAACGCTTTGAAAAACGTCACTTGAAGCGATAACATTGTGAATGCCTAGAAGTCCCATCGATCTTCCGTAAACACATAAACATGCGAACAAACGTCTCGGAGGCGGCAGCTATAACACAGCCACAAGAAGGACTAACTTGGCAGAAATCTGCCAATTTTTAGAACACCATCCGCCAAGAGCTGGTCTATAACTGTGGTACGCCCTTCTCCGGAGTCGGTCTTGTCAACGTTACAAGGGCGCCCTGTCAATGTCCGTTATGCACGGCTTGATTTCGCGCCAGTTGAGACTGTCCCCTCAGCCAGGTAATTGCCACGCTGCTTGAGAAGTACTGCTTAGCACGGTCGGTTGCTCTTCTGTCGGGTTGCTATGACGACTGCCTTTTCTCGAGGGTCTCTTTTCCTGGTGCATGGGTCTGTGTCATCTTCAGTGCCCGCCTTCTGCCCTTGGTAATATTATGTTGTTAATGCACGTCGGGCATTCGAAGTACAGAGTTACGTGGAGGGGGGGGGGGTTGGGGGGGGGGGTTGGGGGGGGGTTGGGGGGGGGTGCATTATTCCACTTCGATCCATTGATCTTTTGTGGGTTTTTCAAACTTCGGCCAACATGTTTAGCACGGTATCCGTGTTTCTCTGCGGGTTGGAAGAGTAACACATTGACAACGTGTTACCAGTACATGTATTGCAAATTGCCGAGTGAACAACAACAACAGTATTCCACTCAGGTTAGTATTCCACTCAGGTTAGTATTCCACTCAGGTTAGTATTCCACTCAGGTCAGCTGTCTCTCTTGTCACAGTATCAGTTGCCAGTGCAAGCACCCCCGCGACCTTGGTAATACAGGTGATTGGGATGACGTACCTAGCAGAACTGCGACTCAACTTTTGTTCTCCTTGTGAACCATGGTTATGGCTGAGCAGCCAGATCGGGAAGAGGGGGGGGGTCTATTATGCAAATGTACGTAGTGTCACTCTGCTCGTGCTCGATTGCGTGTGTTTCGTAGACTTTGCTTCGCCTTTCGTGAGGTGATCATGAACAACTTTGAAGTGGCGATGTTATGCACCCTCGAAATCTGTGTCCTGTCAGTTTCGCTGTCGTGTTTTGCCTTCTCTTGACCTCACTGCGAGCGATCAGCTAAAGCAGACGCTCGATTATCCAGTTAAGGAGGTCAACTCGTGGACGATGCGCTGCACAATGCAGCGAAACAAACCCGGGTTTCTTTACGACTGGTCACGTGTGATGGTGGTATTCCACACCCAGTGTTTTAGTGGCGGCATGCGCTTCAATGCCCTCGAAACATCACATCTGCCGTCTGGCTACCCAATATGGCCGTTCAGCGATAGTGGCCGGATATTTGAATTCTTTATTCTCACCATGGCACCATCGCCAATAAGACACAAGTTTACATGGAGATCGATTTGGAGTGGCAACACAGTAAGTTTCTACATCAAGTCTGCAGTGTGACAACCTCATCTCTCCAACGCCTGGACAACCAAGGCCTTCCATTGCTATTGCAATTAAATCGTAATATCCCTGAGGAGAGCTCAAGGGCGAACATTCGGAGACTAGTGTAATTGCAATTGCAGTGCAAGGCCTACATGTACATATAGGTTGTGAAGGCGTCGGAGAGAGAATTGATTGGATGCAGTGAAGCCTTCGAGTATTGAAGGAAATGATAGCCTCAGTATTCGGAATTCTAACATTGAAAACGGTAATAATTGCCTGTCGCGCCTTCACCTTGAAGGGTAGCAGATGACACCCACCATTGGCGCTATTACCACTACCTCCCAACCAAGTAACACACTCTGCACGCGCTAACCTACGTATCTCCAGATCGAAGCTGTTGAAAGATGCAGCAGCGGTGTGAATCCACGCGAGAAAGTGTCCTCGCTATCCAAAGGTGAATATCTTTAAAAGGTTGTTACAGTCAGACCTCGTTTATCCGGATCCCTCGCCATCCGGAAGAAAATAGTTGGTTACAAATGTACAGCATATGCCATGCTTACATACAGTATGTGTGTTCGATTATCCGGTTCCCTCGCCTATCCGGATATTTTTGTGGAAAACGGATGTGTGCGGTTATGCGAGGTCTGACTGTAATCACCTTTGTCGTACTCAATCTGCGGACAGAACTGATGCGTCCTTTGTAGACTCATCAGCGCAGCACAGAAAAAAACAGATCACCCTTTTTCAGTCATTCTAGCAAACACATTATAATCAAGGCCCCCAGCTGTTTTCCTTAGGCAGTATGTCGAAGCCTTCCTGCTGAGGCACTAAGCACAGGAATGTCTTCTTCGAAGTAACTCAACGGCTATCTGATGAAGTTCGAACCGGCACTGCTGCACCAATTCAAGAAGAGTACGTTGGTGGAGATGAGGTCAGATTCAGTGACGGTTTGGCGGCAGTCCATTCCATTCGCGAATCTGGGCAAGGATCTATGAGGTGTAGATATGGCTGGATGAATTGGCATCAGGTATTGTTGTGTTAAGTTCGGAAATTACTAGTCAGTATGAGAGAGAGAGAGAGAGTGAGAGAGAGAGAGAGAGAGAGAGATAGATAGATAGATAGATAGAGAGAGAGAGAGAGAGAGAGAGAGAGAGAGAGAGAGAGAGAGAGAGAGAGAGAGAGAGAGAGAGAGAGAGAGAGAGAGAGAGAGAGAGAGAGCGAGAGCAAGAGCGAGAGCCTCGGGGAGAGAGAGAGAGAGAGAGAGAGAGAGAGAGAGAGAGAGAGAGAGAGAGAGAGAGCGCGAGGGGAGGAGGAGAGAGAGAACAAAACAGGAATTTGCTCCCCCTCCACCACCCCCTCTCTCTGGCTGACCTCATTCACACCCGCAACATGACTCAGTCACTGCCAAATAGATTTGCCTCTGACGCTGTCCTGACCATAAATATTTCATTAGTGAGGGTGAAGAGTACTGAATGCCTAGAATGTTTTTTCGAAAGCACGTTTTTATACAGAGACTAAATCGAAGGTCGACCAGAGAGCGCATGTGATGGATGTGAAACAAATACATTCATGACCAGACCGAAACTGTCACTCGCGCTCATAAAATCAAGAAAACAATACTTTATTCACTGGTTTGAGGGAAAGGCGCACACGGGAAACGTCTGAAGAATCAATACTTGTCAGGAGTTATGAATCACTAATTGATATCGTGGAATGAGACTATTGAACTGTTCGTACCGCACTCTTCAAGCGTCCTGAATCTCGTCTGATCCAAAGAAGAACCTCTTGCTATTTTTGGATTTGGTCGCTGCACGTTTCATCCGCTCGTTGTCGTGAAAAGTAATGGCGAAGACCTAATGCGATGCAGGCCAATGCTGGGTTTCAGCCATGGAGTGGTAAAATACCTGTTTTTTACTACTCCATGGTTTTAGCTTTTAAAGCACGGTCACAACTGGACATGATGACATTGATGTATAGATGAGCGCCACAGCACGCACTGCATCCAACCCTACCAAGAGGTTGCGCGCACATCTGACAGCACATACATGTATCCCCATTACGCAGTACTGTACGCAGTTAGCCAGATCAAATCATGGCATCCTCTACCTGTGCAGTCAGTGGAGC